TCTCTCTCTCTCTCTCTCTCTCTCTCTCTCTCTCTCTCTCTCTCTCTCTCTCTCTCTCTCTCTCTCTCTCTCTCTCTCTCTCTCTCTCTCTCTCTCTCTCTCTCTCTCTCTCTCTCTCTCTCTCTCTCTCTTGTTGTGTCTGTATGTGTATATTTTACTCTCCCTCTCTCTCCACCTCACAGCATGACTAATGTTTCTCTCTCTCTTTCATCCTTGGCAGGAGTTTGAGCGGAAGAACTCGGCGATGGTGCAGCAGATGTTCGACGACGTGGATAGCCTCTTGTTTGAGGGCGGACGCGCAGACTCGCGGCACAGCGCCGAGTTTCAGGAGTGGCTCACGCGATATCCACACTTACGGTACACTTACTGTACACTTACTGTACACTTACTGTACACTTACTGTACACTTACGGTACACTTACTGTACACTTACTGTACACTTACTGTACACTTACTGTACACTTACTGTACACTTACTGTACACTTACTGTACACTTACTGTACACTTACTGTTGTACACTTACGGTGAGCGAGAGCGACGGAGAGAACAACGTGCCTCTACCGCACGCACGCACGCACGCACGCACGCACGCACGCACGCACGCACGCACGCACGCACACATCCGTAGTGATGGCCCATGCCTCATCCTCTACCGTGGCTCTAACATCTCTAAGCGCACTACTGTAGCAGCTTTTATCGCGTTAGCTTACAAGCAGCAACACTGCGCGCATGAGTCACGGTGAACATATGTGCGGAGAACATTGATTCATACGTCCATTATTCGTACGTTTCGCGCGCGAATTCCGCGAAATTCGGCGGGGAATTAACGCGTGAGCGGTGTGTTCTCCGCATTCCTTCCATTGTCGTATCGTGGATGTCCGCGAGCGCGCGTTCACCTGGGCGTGGCGTTGCAGGGTACTCGGGCATCAGTTCGACGGGCAGCAGCAGCAGGATGCGGGGTACAGCCTTCACTCTCCCCGGCAGCGTGACGACGAGGATGAGGATGCGGCTGCAGCATCCCGAGCGGAGGCTGAGCAGCAGCAGCAGCAGCAGCAGCAGCAGCAGCAGCAGCAGCAGCAGGGAGCCGCGATAGGGTGAGTGAATGAAGCTGCCAACGCGCTGATCCTTCCTCTCGCGAGTTTTCTTTATAGTAAGTAACTCCTGTTGATCCTCCTCTTCCTGCTGCTGCTGCTCATATTCCTCCTCCTCTTCATTCTCTTCTTGCTCCTCCTCCTCCTCTTCCTGCTGCTCCTCCTCCTCTTCCTCCTCCTGCTCTTCCTGCTTCTCCTCATCCTCTTCCTGCACCTCCTCCTCCTCCTACTCCTCCCACTCCTCTTCATTCTCCTTTTCCTCATCCTCCTGCTCCTCCCCTAATTCCTCCTCCTCCTCCTCCTCCTCCGAAGAGAGAGAGAGAGATGAGAGAGAGAGAGAGAGAGAGAGAGATAGAGAGAGAGAGAGAGAGAAAAGAGTGAGAGAGAGAGAGAGAGGAGAGAGAGAGAGAGAGAGCGAAAGAAAGGAGAAAGAGAGAGAGCGAAGCAAGAGAAGAGAGAGAGAAAGAGAGAGAGAGCGAGAGAGAGAGAGAGAGAGAGAGAGACGAGAGGGGGGGAGAGGAAAGAGAGATGAGAGAGAGAGAGAAGAGAGGGGGGGGGGAGAGAGAGAATGAGAGAGAGAGAGAGAAGAGAGAAGAAAGAAAGAGAGAGAGAGGCAAAGGAAAGAAGAGAAAGAGAGAGATCGAGAGAGAGAGAGAGAGCGAGAGAGAGAGAGAGAAGGGGGAGAGAGAGAAAGGAGAGAGAGAGAGAGAGAGAGAAAGAGAAAGGAGAGCGAGAAAGAGGAGAGAGACGAGAAGAGAAAACAGAGGAGAGAGAGAGAGAGAGAGAGAGAGAGAGAGAAAAGCGAGAGAGAGCAAGAGAGAGAGAGACAGAGCAAGAGAAGAGGAGCGATGAGCAAGAGGAGAGAGAGAGAAAGAGAGAGAGACGAGAGAGAGAGAGAGGAGAGACGAGAGAGAGGAGAGGGGGAGAGGAAGAGAGAAATGAGAGAGAGAGAGAGAGAGAGAGGGGGGAGAGAGAGACTGAGAGAGAGAGAGAGAAAGAGAGAACAAGAAAAGAGAGAGAGAGCGAAGAAAGAGTAGCAAGAGAGAGATCGAGAGGAGAGAGAGAGAGAGAGAGCGAGAGAGAAGGGGGAGAGAAGAGAAAGAGAGAGAGAGAGAGAGAGAAAAGAGAGAGAGAGAGCGAGAAAGAGAGAGAGAGAGCGAGCAAGAGAAGCAGAGAGAGAGAGAGAGAGCCGAGAGAGAGAGAGAGAGAAAGCGAGAGAGAGCAAGAGAGAGAGAGACAGAGAGAGAGGAGGCAAGAGAATAAGGAGAGGCGAGAGAGAGAGGAAACTGAGCTGCGCGGTGATCTCACTGCTGGGTGCGGCGCGTGCCACGCGTGTATCGCCTAGCCAAGCAGAAGTGCGCGAGGGAGGCTGCAGCTCGGAAGATGATGCGTCAGCTTCGCTCGTCACGTCTGGGCCAACGACCAGGTAAGCGAGCGTCACGCAACGCGCCAGGTGTTTTGAATCAAAAGCGAGACGAAGCCCTAGCGTCTGCTGTCATTATTGTACGGCGTTATTATGTGTTACACTATAGTTTTTAGGAAAGCTAGAAATACTAGGAAGCTTAAGTGGCCAGGAAAATAGTTTGCCCACTAAAGTATTCCTAGCTTTCCTAAAACTACAGCGTAAAACATCATGCTACATTGTCATCAATCATAACCCGTACCATCATCATGTCATGCATCATCATCATCATCATCATCATCAATTATTATCCCTAACGGACGTCGTGTACAATTTATTACTACAATGACATCGAACGGCTGAAAGCGAATCTATCTCCACCGTTCGCTACATCACGAGAGCGACGCGCCGACAGCGACCAAACAACAAAGTACCTGTCACGTCGCCGTCGTCAACTGGCGACGTCGAATACTCCAGTCTAGCAGGCAGCGCGAGTCCAGGCGATGACGTCGACGCACGCGCGATCCGAATCACGAGGCCGGCGAGTATGACGTCTCGCATCGACGCCTCGGGCGAGACGGGAGGCAGGCGCGCACGCTGTTGCCGCGGCGAGGACATCCGGGCGTCGCGGCCGAGCACGAGGGACCATCCGACGTCTCGGACATCCCTGGAGACAATGAGACAATGAGACAATGAGCAAGATGGCGAGACAGTTGGAGACAATGAGATGCGTGATCGGATGTTGGGTTAGTGCGTCGACAGATGGAGTGAACGGACGAACAGACAGACAGAACAGTTAGACAGACAGACCACATCAGAAAAGTACGACATCAAACATTAATAGGAAGATGAAGGAGTGAACAGATAGCAGAGATAGACACACAGACAAATAAACATACAACACATTAGTGAAGAAGTGACAATAGAGAGATAGACAACAGACAAATAAAATACAAACATTAAGGTGAAGGAGTGAACAGATAGAGAGATCTGACACACAGACAATAAAACATAGCAAACATTTAAGGTGAAGGAGTGGACAGATAGTACGAGATACGACAGACAGAGCAAATAAACATACAAACATGAGAAGGTGAAGGAGTGACCAGATAGAGCGATAGACTACAACAGACAGGAAGTAACATAGCAAACAGTTAAAGTGAAGGAGTGGACAGATAGAGAGATAGAGCACACAGACAAATAGACATACAAACATTAAGGTGAAGGCGTGCAAGCAGATACCGAGAGATAGACAGACAGACAAATAAACATACAAACATTAAGGTGAAGGAGTGGACAGATAGAGAGATAGACAGACCAGACAAATAAACATACAAACATTAGGTGAAGGAGTGAACAGATAGAGAGATAGACAACACAGAACAAATAAACATACAACATTAAGAAGGTGAAGAGTGACCAGATAGAGAGATAGACAGACAAGACAAATAGACATACAAACATTAAGAAGGTGAAGGAGTGGACAGATAGAGAGATCGACAGACAGACAAATAAACATACAAACATTAAGGTGAAGAGTGGACAGATAGAGAGAAGACAGACAGACAAATAAACATACAAAACATGAAGAAGGTGAAGGAGTGAACAGCTAGAGAATAGACACACAGACAAATAAACATACAAACATTAAGGTGAAGGAGTGACAGATAGAGAGATAGACACACAGACAAATAAGACATAGGCAAACATTAAGGTGAAGAGTGACAGATAGAGGATAGACCACACAGACAAATAAAGCATACAAACATGAAAGAAGGTGGAAGGAGTGGACAGATTAGAGAATAGACACACTAGACAAATAGACATACAAACATTAAGGTGAAGGAGTGGATCAGATAGAGAGATAGAAAGCACAGAACACATAAAGATACAAAGCATTAAGATGGTGAGAGGAGTGGAGCAGATAGAGAGATAGGAACACACAGAACAAATAAGACATAAATTAAGGTGAAGGAAGTGGACAGATAGAGAGATAGGACACACAGTACAAAATAAACATATCAAGACATTAAGGTGAAGGAGTGGACAGATAGAGGGGGGGATATGAGTAGACACAGCAGACATCGAATAGACCATACAAACATTAAGGTGAAGGAGTGAACAGATAGAGAGATAGACAACAGACAAAATAAACATAACAAACATTAAGAAGATGAAGGAGTGGACAGATAGAGAGACTAGACCAGCAGACAGATAACAGTACAAACATTAAGAAGGTGAAGGTAGTGGACAGATAGAGAGATAGAACAGCACAGACAAAATAAACTACAAACATTAAGAAGATGAAGGAATGGACAGATAGAGAGATTAGACACACAACAAATAGACATAACAAATCATAAGGTGAAGGAGTGAACAGATAGAGAGATAGACACACAGACAAAATAACCATACAACATTAAGAAGGTAAAGGAGTGGACAGATAGAGAGATACGAGCACACAGACAGAATAAGACATATCAAACATTTAAGAGATGACGAATGGACAGATAGAGAGATAGACAGACAGAAAATAAAACATACAAACATTAAGGTGGGAAGGAGTGATACAGATAGAGAGATAACAACACAGATAAATAACCATACAAAAGCATTAAGGTGAAGGATGTGTAGCAGATAGTAGAGATAGACACTAACAGACAAATAAAGCATACAAACCATGAAGAAGATGAAGGAGTGGACAGATAGATGAGATAGACACACAGACAAATAAACATACAAACATTAAGGTAAAGGAGTGAAGAGATAGAGATGATAGACAACATCAGAGGAAAATATAACATACAAACGATAAGGTGAAGGAGTGGCCGAACAGATAGAGAGTAGAACACACAGACAAATAAACATACAAACATTAAGAAGGTAAAGGAGTGGAACAGATAGAGGATAGACACACAGACATAATAAACATACAAAAATTAAGAAGTAAAGGAGTGACAGATAGAGAGATAGACCCACCAGACAAATAAACATAATCAACATTAAGAAGATGAAGGAATGGACAGATAGAGAGATCGACAAAGACAGACAAAAAACATACAAAGCATTAGGTGAAGGAGTGAACAGATAGAGAGATAGACACGCCTGCAGACAAATAAACATAAAACATTAAAGGTGAAGGAGTGTACAGATAGAGAGATAGAGCACACAGACAAATAAACATCCAAACATGAAGAAGTATTGAAGGAGTGGACAGATAGAGAGATAGACACAACAGACAAATAAACATACAAAGCATGAAGAATGAAGGAGTGGACGAAGAGAGATAGAACACACAGACAAATAAACATTACAAACATTAAGGTAAGGAGTGAACAGATAGAGAGATAGACACACAGACAAATAAACATATCAACATTAAGTGAAAGAGTGGACAGATAGAGAGATAGACACACAGACAAAGAGAGCATACAAACATTTAGGTGAAGAGTGGACAGATCAGAGAGATAGACAGCACAGACAAATAAACATACAAACATTAATGGTACAAGGAGTGAACAGATAGACGAGATAGACAACAAGACAAATAAACATACAAACATTAAGGTGAAGGAGTGAGACAGATAGAGAGATAAGACACAGCA